GTGGATAAGAAGTTTAGTAGGCAACATTGCTAAAGGCATGAATAATAGGGATTTCAGGCGATTTGATGCTTCCTGCAGCCAGACTGTCAATTGAAATGGCTATTGGAATGAGCTAGTGACAAGTCCTGTGACTGAATGTACAAAAGACAACCAGGAGACAGGTTCTTTTAGAGGGGATTCAAGCCAGGATGGAGAAACTGATAGTTAATGCCAGGCTAGAGGGAATCTTTGAGAGTGAATATGAAATTCAATCTCCGAAAGATGGGTTAGAGAACCTTTCTTCTTTGCATGATTCCTCACTCTAGAAGTCAGCTTCAGCTGGGTCATTATTATAATAATTTCCCAGCTGTCAGAAAAAGTGGTCAGTCTCCAAGAGGGAGGAAACAAATTAAAGAATATTCAGTTTAGGTGTGGTGGGTTTTTTTTTCAGTTAACTGTTTCTAATTAGCTCTGTTCCAAGGTACTTAAAGATTAAACTAATAACATTTTGGAGCCATTAGTGTCTGTCTCTGTTACCTTGTGGAGAATGACTAGAAGTACTGGAGAAGTGGAGTAGAGTAGACATAATACCAGTTTTTAAAAAGGAAGGAGAGAGAAGTCTTGGTTATATAGGCTGTCAGACTTTCAGTCCTAGAAAATACTGGAACAGGTAAATGCACAATGCATTTTTAACACCTGAAAGTACAAGAAGAATAGCCACTGGCAAGGATTTGTCAAAAAGATAGTGTCTTTTACTTCTAGAGTGGCCTTGTGGACAAAGGAAAAGCTTTGAACATTTTACTTCACTATTCATAAGGCTTTGACACTCTGATACAAGACATGCTTTCAAGCAAGCTGGGAAATGTGGTAAACATGCAACTACAATAGGCTGGGTGTAAAACTATAAACCGTGTTTCCATAGCTCACTATCAAAATGAGAAGATTTCTTAAAAGGAGTTCTGTAGGGATTTGTGGTGACTCAGTATTTTTCAGTACTTTCATTAATTAAATGTGCAACAATACCAAGCTGGGAAGGACAGCAAGTACATTGCAGGACAGCATTAGAATTCAAAATAATCTTGATAAATTGTAGGTATCATTTGGAAAAATAAGATGCTATTAAAAAACATCAAATGCAAGGTGTTTACACAGCAACAAGCTGCACAAATACAGCATGGAAAATCACTGGTTAGAGAGCAGTGCCATAAACAAGATTATAACGGATTGGAAGCTATATATGAATTTACATTGACATCTTCTACAGGAAAATACCCAATACACACACAAGGAAAAGCAAGGACCACCAGACAGCAGATAGTGACAATGGTAAAGTGTGTCGAGTAGTTGGTTTATGAATTGTGATCTCTTTACAAAGTTAGTGACTTTTTGATATGTGAAGGTAACTCAGATACAGCTTCATATTCAAAAAATTAGGTCATGTTAAAACAGACTATACTCCTTTCTATGTAATTTAATGATAAGGCTTAGGGTGTTTATTTACTTATTTTTTTATACCGATTTGCTCGTTTGAGTCAGGAGAGGGTATTTAAAGAGACCAAACCCCGAACAGATCAGGACTTGTACTGATTGCATACTAGACTGCAAGGATGGAGCAAGGCTAATGCCATATACCAAGTTCAATTAATTTTTAAAGAAATATCAAACACCGGTCTTTAGATCCTCTAGCAATAAAAACATTCTCTTGAAATATATTATTTATGTTTAAGGTAAATTGTATCCTAGCTCTTTTGAGTCCACATGGCTTTGAAACTTTCCTCTCTGGGATTTTGGGAAACACAGCCTATCCTCTCTCCCGTTACTGTGTACAAGGATCCGGAAGAGCCCGGACCCTTAGAGTTCGACACGATCACCCCGGTCGAGATCAAAACACAAACGAGGTTATAGGTCGGTTGGGAAGGCTCCAAGGTTCATCGACGAAGACAGGAGCGAGAGAGCAGTAGAAAGGAAAAAGACAGGCCTTAAGCAAAGGATAGTCACCACCGTGGAGCCGAGCGACGTCTCACAGGGCGCCCTGCCACCTTGTCTCGGTGAGGGAGGGTTCGGCCCCCGCGCCGTGCGCACCGCCTTTTATACCTTTCAGACCCGCCTTTTTTACTCAGGTTGCCCGGGGAAACGGCACGTCTCACACGTTCCTCAGTACCCATGCGACGATCGCAAGGTGCTCTGGGTAGCACGCGCCTCTGTCCCCGCCTATCGCTCGCGGCGGGCATCGGGGCGTCGTGTCGGCGGCGGGAAGAGCTTTCTGAAGCAGGAGGTGGGTGAACACGCGTGTTCCACGAGTGGCGTTTGGGACAACACGTCCGCACGAGTCGGCCTTAGGCCGCCACGCCGCCTCCCTTGGAAATTTTTGTATGTGTGTCAATTTGCAGTTCTCCTTCTCCAGATCTGCTGGGCTCATCCGTAGATTCCTGGATGGTAATTCACTTTGTAAAGGCACTGTTACACTGTGGAGCCTTCCAGTACGTTTTAAGTGGTTTAGGTCTGTTAATTCTGCCACAGACTTCTGCAAGGGCGTTTACAGGTATGATTCTTCGATGATTGTGACTTCCTGGTTTCTGGTTTTCAGTCCTCATTGCCCAAACTCTGAGTCATTCTTCGCTGAAACAGGAGGTTTCAGGCTTCTGTGAACAGAAGTGGTAAAATCAAAAAGAAATACCCAGAAAATAGCAGTACCTGGATTTACCCACTTCAACCATAATTTATAGCTCCTTCATTTCAGCATCATCTTCAGAAACCTCACTGGCTTTTTGTTGGCAATATATCTGTTCAGCTTGGTAGGGAAGTTGCTCCCAATGTTTTGGTATGCTAATAGTGCACGGTTCAACCCTCCTAGTCCTTGTGTCTCATTATTTATATTAATACAACGAACGGAAATTACTTTTTCCGATTTGCGTTGTTACGATATGCTGATTGTACAGTTTCTTCCTGGGGCACGCTGTGTTCCTGAAGCTGAGCAGCACCTTCAGAATTCTTTAATTCTCTTCAGATTAATCTGATTGACCTTAAATTCTTCCGGAGTGATGTATTTCAAGGGTTTCCAGTCCCTCGTCCCCCAGCTGCTCTCATATACCAGATTTCCTTCATATTTCTCCCCTTTTAAGGCCTGAAGCTGGAAAGTAATCTCTGTGGTGTTCATGGATGGAACAGTTGTCTAAAATCTAAATTTTGAATTTTTGTTTAGCATGGAACATGTTTTTGTCTCTTAACAGCTATATACCATGTCTAGTATTTAAATCACTAGAAATTTGTAAAGATAAACTGTTTAGTTCTTGGGACCCTGTCTGTGAGTTCAGAGTGCAGCAGATGAAGAGACGTGGTGGCACTGACTCAGTTTTAGGTTGACACTTGAACTGTTCCCAGTTCCTTGTTTGGATCACTTGAAAATCCTTTAGGGAACACAAGTTTGTATTTATGTAGAAGTTATCATCGTATCCCACAAAACATACACTGCTGATGAACTGATGCTTCTGCAGAAATGATAAGGACCTTTATTTGTAAAGTGTTCTTAGCACCGAAGTATAGGCAAACAGGTAATTGTGGATGTTTGTACTTAGAATTTCAGAACATTTACGTTTACTGGGGAAAATGATGTTGCATTTAAGTTGCTAGCATTAAATTTATATGTAGTTATTGCTGATGTAAATTATGTATTCTGTTTGCGTTCTTTTGCTTCCTCCTTAGCAGGCTTATTGGTACTAAAACTGTGGGGTAAGGTTTATTATATTTAACCATTTTTTATTTTGCTTAGAACTGTTGTCTCTTAAAAGAAGTTTGATACTAGCAGGAAATGGAAGATTTATTTTTTTTTTTCAAATGAAAAAAGTCAGAAAGTCAAGTTGAACTGTAGTGTTAGAACACAAGAGCAAAATGAATATTTGGTAGATGAATATGCTCAGAAGGACGAAGGAGGACAGAGAAAATAGAGTAACACTTGTAAGATGATCCTTGTAGTTCAATTCAACTATTTTTTCTCCTCTTTTCCAAATCCCCTCTACCAGTGCAAAAGAAAGTAACTATGCTGTTTTTACATAAGTATGCAAAATCTTTTTCTAGTGAATGTGTGCTGTACACGCAGTGACTGATTAGGCACTGTATGATATCATTAAAGAACACAGCCCCGAAATTTCTATCATATACTGATAGACCAGCATTGGTTAGTTTTACTTCTTGGATGAAGGGCATTATGTTTTTTCCTAATCTCTGTAGGGGTTTATAATTGCATTTGTTTGTTAAACTGTAATACACAGCAATGTCCTTCAATTATAAAACAGCATTTTAAAAGTGGGGAACAGTGTCCCTGTAAGTACCAGCATGATATTTTATTTTGGCAAGAAAGAAAATCTGTAAAACTTTGTTTCCGGGTCTCACTGTTATGTCAGGCAACCTTCACCACTGCTTGTACTTCTGTTCCCTTTCACAACTCAAGGCTTTTTCCATAATGGGGGCTATTTATCTAGACAAAATGACCCTCTAGTGCCCATTAGCACTGCTTATGAAAGGGCAACTAGGATGTGATGTGTTACCTACCTCCTGTCTAGAAGTCCCAGTGGCCTCTGAATGAAATTACTAATCTTACTTGAAAGTGTATAACTTGCTTCAGCAAGTAGGCTGTTATTTGGACATGGAGATTCAGTTTCTTCCATTGACAAACACTGATGAGGTTAAAGGAGTTTCAACAGTCTTACAATACAGGGAGACATATTTATTCATTATTTTAAAATAGCTAAGAAAATCAACAAATAATAATCTTCTTTCTACTCTCCAGTTTATTACAAATACGTATTAAAAATATCACTGGAAACGTGTACTGTTGAGACAGGTAGAAAAACAGATTTGATTTTCATGTATTTCAACTTCTGGTATTCTTCAGTACCTTTGAGCAGATTTAACTCCTTTTTTTAGTAATTTTTTTTTTTGATAATTTAAGGCCACCACTTTCTATTAATTTTGGCAGAAATACTTAACAGTGTGCTTTACTTTGTTTTGCTTTACCCTTTTAGCAGACAGATGATGCAGCACAGACCGATGGCCAGCAACAGACACAATCTTCTGAAAACACAGAAAACAAATCACAGCCAAAACGGCTTCACGTCTCAAATATACCATTCAGATTCCGGGATCCAGATCTTAGACAAATGTTTGGTGTAAGTACTCATACTTTATGCTTTTTTATATTTGCCTTGCAATAGGTATTTTACATTATAGGCAACCATGAGAGCAGTATCTCTGGGTTAGGCTGTTTAACCATTTTCAGTAAAGATTCTCGTTTCATTTGTTTATAACCAAACATCTGATTTGCCAGTCACAATTGGGAAAAGAAATTCTACTGTGTGAGTAGAACACATACAGATGTGTGTATTCTATGTATTGTGCTGTTTTGTGTTACATTCAAAAAAAGCTACCTACATTAGCTTAAAATACTGAA